CCTTCATGTCTGATTGCTGTGGCTAAGACTTCCAGTACAATGTTAAATAAGAGTGGCGAAAGTGGACATCCCTGTCTTGTTCCTGTTCTTAATGGAAATGTTTTTAGTTTCTGTCCACTGAGTATGATGTTGGCTGTAGGTCTTTCATATATGGCCTTTATTATGTCGAGATATGATCCCTCTATTTCTACATTGCTGAGCGTTTTTATCAGAAAGGGATGCTGGATTTTGTCGAATGCTTTTTCAGCATCTATTGATATGATCATGTGGTTTTTATTCTTCATTTTGTTGATGTGGTGTATCACGTTTATTGATTTGCGAATATTGTACCAGCCTTGCATCCCTGGAATGAATCCCACTTGGTCATGGTGAATAATTTTTTTGATGTATTTCTGGATCCGATTTGCTAATATTTTGTTCAGGATTTTGGCGTCTATGTTCATCAGGGATATTGGCCTGTAGTTTTCTTTCTTCGTAGTGTCTTTTTCTGGTTTTGGAATTAGAATTATGCTGGCCTCATAGAACATGTTTGGAAGTCTTCCTTCTTCTTGAATTTTTTGAAATAGTTTGAGGAGAATGGGTGTTAGTTCTTTTTTGAATGTTCGGTAAAACTCCCCCGTGAAACCATCTGGGCCTGGGCTTTTGTTTGCTGGGAGAGTCTTGATTACCTCTTCAATTTCCTTAGTTGTTATTGGTCTCGATGTGTCCCTTTCACATCGATGTTTCTCTCTCTCTTCCTCTCTCCCCCTCCCACTCTACCTGAACAAAAAATAGAAAAATGTCCTCAGGTGAGGATAAAAAAAAAAAATAATAATAAAAATAAAAAACAGAATTTTATTCTCTCACAGTTCTGGAGGCTAAAAGTTGAAAATCAAGGTGTTGGCAGGGCTGCAGTCCCTCCAAAGGCTCTGGGGAGAATCCTTCCCTGCCTCTTCCAGCTTTGATGGTTCCAGGCAAGAGTTCTTTACCTGTGATCTAATGACTTCAATCTGTGCCTCCATCTTCATATGGTCCTTTCCTCTGTCTCCCTGTGTCTTCTCCTCTTCTGTTTTTTATAAAGACACTTGTCATTGGATTTAGGGCTCACCTGGATAATCCAGGATGAGTTTATCTTGAGATCCTTAACTTAGTTATATCTGCAAAGATCCTTTTTCCAAATAAGGTTACATTCATAGGTTTCAGGGGTGAGGACATGGACATATCTGTTGGGGGGCCTCTTTTCAACCCACCAAGTGTTATTTTATAGATGAAGAAATTTGGGCTGAGAGAGATTAAGGAATTCACCTAAGGCAGATTAGTTCACTTCTACCATAGAGTTTTGCCCACTTGAGAAGGGTCACAGATTTTATAAAACCTCACACACTAAAACGGTCCTGTTAGAGTCTTATCATAGTACAATTGGTTCCTGCTGGCCTTATATTTGTAAAACTAAAAGTGAGACAGGCCAGCAGGCCAGGGCAAATGGATAGAAAAATTGAGACAGATAGCTGAACAAACTGGCAGAGCAATTTACAGTGGATACAGAAGATCACCTCTAGATATAACGTCCAGGCTTCAGGTATATTTCAGCCCAGACCAAGAAAAGCAGCAAAACCAGGACCAGCTGCAAAGATGGATGACTACCTGCCCTGACACTGATCAGTCAGTGGAGACCACAATCCTGAAGGCACACACTAGAAAACAGATGAATATTCTGTTGAAACCCTTCCCTGAGACCTCCCCTAAGATTCTCACCTGCAAGAAAGAGGTAAAAGCCTCAAGACGAAGGATCCATCGAACTCTCTCCTTCTGGGGAGCAGCCCCCACCATTCCCTTTCCTCTCTTCTTCCCCCACAGGCATGCATCTCCTAAACTCTAAAGTACCCCACAAGGCTTGCAACCAGGGGAGCAATGGGCAGTGCAGCTAGTCTCAGGCAAACCCCTGAACCTGTCCCCAAGGCGCCCTTTTCTCTGACTTCCCAGAGAGCTAAGGCTGCCTAGCCTAGGCTCTTCTGTTGCTTCTGTGCTAAGCCCTTTCTTGTTTTACTGTCCCTAGCTTTAATAAATGTTTCCTCATTATCACCTGGACTCCTGTTGTAAACTTTTTCCTGCATGAAGAACTCACACACTACCTACTGGCCAGCCCTAGGCAGACCTGCCAAGGGCCAGGTACCCTTTCCGATAACAAAGGGACTTCCTAGGATCACCTCTACGAGGGTTTCTGGTTTTAGATGCGCCTGACCAAGCATCACGATATTATATTACATTACATCATAAAATTATGGCCAACTGTCTTATCTTAAGGACATTAGATACTGGAGAACTGAAACCCATGGCCTCATTTATTTATTTATTTTAATCCTCACCCGAGGACATTTTTTCAGTTATCTGCAGATAGGGAGGGAGGGAGAGAGAGAGAGAGAGAGACATCGATACATCAATGTGACAGAAACACATTGACTGGTTGCCTCCTGCATGACCCCAACCAGGACTAGGGACCAAACCGCAACCAAGGTACGTGCCCTTGACTGGAATCAAACCTGAGACTCTGGTTCATAGGCCAACACTCTAACCACTGAGCAAAACCAGCCAGGGGCTTATTTTATTTTATTTTTTTACTACATTCCCTATGCTGTACTTTATATCCTGTGACTGTTTTGTAACTACAAATAGGTACTTTAAAAAGACAACTGCATTTTTGTTGTTGAAAGTATTATAGATGTCTTCCTTTCCCCCACCATTGACCCTCTCCATCCCACTTCTGCAACCCCATGCCTTCACTGCAATATTGTCTGTGTTCATCGGTTATGCATATGCATATAAGTTCTTTGCTTAATCTCTTCCCACCCCTCTCTCCCTTCCCTCTGAGATTAATCAGTCTGTGCCATGCTTCCATGTCTCTGGATCTATTTTGTTCATCAGTTTATTTTGTTTATTAGATTCCACATATAAGTAAGATCATGTGATACTTGTCTTTCTCTGGCTTATTTTGCTTAGCATAATACTCTCCAGGTCTCTTCATGTCCTCTCAAAGGGTAAGAGTGCCATTTTTTTTTTACAGTTGCATAGTATTCCTTTGTGTATCACTGATGGGCACTTGGGCTGTTTCCAAATCTTAGCTATTATAAATAGCGCTGCTATGAACATAGGGGTGCATATATTCTTTCTGATTGGTTTTTCAGGATTCTTAGGATATATTCCTAGAAGTGGGATCACTGGGTCAAAAAGCAGTTCCATTTTTAATTTTTTTTTTGCACCGTTATCTATTGCTTTAATAATGTTGCATAACAAACAACAATAGAACCTCAATGGCAGGCTGCAGTTATTATTTGTTCATGAATCTGAGGTGGTCATCTAAGTGGCTTTGCTGTTCTTGACTGGACTTGATTAATACCTGGGAGCTGACTGGAGGTCAGGTGCTCTTAGCTGGAATGACTGGCTCACCTCCATGGGTCTCTCTCATCCTCCAGCAGACTGCTTCATGGTGACATCAGATGTGTAAATTATTTTTACTATAGAATGCTTAAATTTATTTTTTCTTTTGATAAGGTAAAACCATTTCCTCAAGGAAATAATACAATTTTGCACAAAGACCAAAGGAACTACATCTGTCTTGTGATTCAGGTTTGATTTACAATACATAAAATGCCATCCCCTGCCTCTTCCGCCAGCAACACTTCTGGGTGATGTCCTTGGCTTCGAACCCCAGAGCAGGCTGCAGATTCGGCATGAAACAATTTGAAACAAGTAACTCACTGCTGTGCTGGACTCCATGAAACTTGCACTAACTGGAACTGACCTTCCCAGGAGTCCTTGGGCTCCAGCAGAGGGAGGGCGGACTGGACTCCCATTTTTTGAGAAAACTCCATATTGTTTTCCAGTCTGTGTTCCCACCAGCAGTGTACTAGGGTCCCCTTTTCTCCACACCCTCACCAGCACTTGTTTGATGATTTGTTTTCTTTTCTTTTTTTTTTTTTTATCCTCACCCGAGGATATTTTTCCATTTTTTTTGTACAGATAGAGTGGTAGGGAGAGAGAGGAAGGGAGAGAGAGAAAGAAACATCAACGTGAAGGGACACATTGTTTGATGATTTGTTAATGGTAGCCCTTCTGGCAGGTGTGAGGTGATACCTCATTGTCATTTTAATTTGCATCTCTCTGATGATTAATGACATTGAGCATTTTTTCATATGTCTCTGACCCGTCCCGCAGGTCGAGCAACGAGGACTCTAGAGGGGGAGTGAGGATGAGGAGGGACAAGAGACACGAGAAATGGAGACAAGACAGGGCTCTGATCAAGTCTCAACTTTATTGAAGATTGGTAACAGATTATATACTTGTGGGAAAAGTCAGGCAGGGGAGGGAGGAAAAGGGTGCATGAGCAGAGAAAACAATTCTCAATTATCAAAAGCTTTTACTGCTTCAACACCAACCAGGGGCCTTATCTCAGGAATGCTCCTCAAGGCGATACTTCAAGGACCTTCAGGCAGTAAACTGCAAGCAGGCAAACAGATTCTGCACGTACAGCCAACTTATTCTTAAAGGGCCCTCGCTTGACCCCAACATGTCTCTTGGTCATTTGTATGTCCTGTTTGGAGAAGCGTCTATTTAAATTCTTTGCCCATTTTTTAATTGGATTGTTTGTCTACCTTTTGTTGAGTTGTATGAGTACTTTATATATTTTGGAGATTAACCCCTTATCAGATGTATCACTGACAAATATGTTTTCCGATACAGTGGGTTCTCTTTCATTTTGATGCTGGTTCCTTTTGCTATGCAACAAATAGGTACTTCTTAATTCCTTCACTTTTTCACCCCTCCCCTCTGGCAACCATAATTTTGTTTTCTGCATCTATAAGTCTGTTTCTGTTTTGTTTGTTTTTTTGTTCTTTAGATTCCACATGTAAGTGAAATCATATGGTATTTGTGGAACTCTGTCTGACTTATTTCACTTAGCATAATACCCTCTAGGTCCATCCATGATGTCCAAAATGGTAAGATTTCATTATTATTATTATTTTTAAAATATGGAATGTTTTATGAATTTGCAGATCAACCTTGAGCAGGGGCCATGCTAATCTTTTCTGTATTATTCCAATTTTAGTATATGCATGCTGAAGCAAGCCCAGATTTCATCATTTTTTATGGCTGAGTAATATTCCATTGTATATATGTACCACCACTTTTTTATGCACTTCCCTATTGATGGGCACTTGGGTTGCTTCCATATCTTGGCCTTTATAAATAGTGCTTCAATGAACATAGGGGTGCATATATCTTTTTGAATTTATGTTTTGGGTTTCTTTGGATAAATACCTAGAAGTGGAATTGTTGGATAATAAGATAATTCCATTTTTATATTTTTAAGGACCCTCTATACTGTTTCCCATAGTGGCTGCTCCAATTTGCAGTCCCACCAACAATGCACAGGGTTCCCTTTTCTCCACATCCTCACCAATACTTGTTTGTTGATTTATTGATGATAGTCATTTTGACAGGTGTGAGGTGATATCTCATTGTGGTTTTAATTTGCATTTCCCTGATGATTAGTGACCTTGTGCATCTTTTCTTTTGTCTATTGTCCATCTGTATGTCCTCTTTGGAGAAGTGTCTATTCAGGTCCTCTGCCCATTTTTTAACTGGATTTTTGGTGTTGATTTCTTTTAAATTTTGCATGATAATCCCTTATTGAATTTATCATTGGCATCCATGGCCTTATTTTAATCAATAAATGAGTTCAACCTGTCTCTATCCCACTTTTGTAACCATTTCCCTGAACAAGAACAATGCAAACTGGCTTGTGTTTCATTCTCTTTATTATTCTCAAGTCATTCTCATGTGCCTATTGTGGAGTGCAAGAGTGAGAAGGCTGAGAAATAGGGAGGTGAAATAATATAAAATCTGGATCACAATAGTCTGTATAAAAGATTTCAAATCTCCTGTGAGGGGGAGTTTACCAGGTTTTATCATAATTCAGCTCAGAGATGATTCTGTGGTTGTGAAAGTGGTCTCATAGGGATTCTTTACCAACTTGACACACCGAAAAATCATCACTATTAGGAAAAGAAACAGAAGAACAACAAAGGCAATGGCAAAGCCTTTGTCTACATCGACAGTGCTGGACAGGCTTGAATCATCCATGGAAACCCTGTCCAGCTGTAGCTAACTCCTCGGGTATATCTTCAGATTTGTGATATTCCTAGACAAGAGAGGATAAAACAAGTTTATTGGTTTGTAGGTGTGTATATGTGCTTTCTTAATAACACTATGTGGAAACCAAAGAGGGATTGCAAAAACAACAACAACAACAACAACAACAACAACAACAACAACAAAAAAAAACAACCCCAGCAATATATATCAAAGAAGTGCTTATGAAAGGCATAAAGTTAGTATAGGTGACTTTCAAGATGTGCACACATGTAAAAACAAAATATCTGGGGAATTTCTCTAAAGCAAAACATGAGCAAATATGAATAACTCAGAAATCAATTGGGGCTCCCTCGTCCTGTAAGATCCAGGAAAACCTGTCCTGACCATCCCAATTCTGTATTAAGTCCAAATTTTTTGCTAAGTGTTTTTCAAATTTTAAGAGTACTTATTGGATCTAATTTGTTGTGGAGTCTTAACCTACTGGGTATGAACATAAAACACCCCCCCCCCAATTACTATATTTAATTCTGCTGTCATTCCCATATCTTAATGAAAAATCAGGTACACCCCAGAAATGGTCAGTTTCAGTTATTAAAATGTAGTCCACCAAAATGATATTGAAACGAACAAAGTCAGAGGATTTCTACTTCCCAATTTCAAAACTCACTACAGTTATTAAGTTAAAGCTACAGTTTTTAAGTTATATAAGACAGAGTGATACTGGCATAAGGATAGACATAAAGATCAATGGAATATAACTGATAGTCCAGAAGTAAACTCATGTATCTATTCTCAACTGATTTTACAAATCCTCACCTGAGGGTATGTTTATTGATTTTAGAGAGCAGGAAAGGGAGAGAGAGAGAAATAGAGAGAGAGAGAGAGGGAGAGAGAGAGAGAGAGAGAAAGAGATTGAGAGAGAGAGACATCAATGTATCAATGTGAGGGAGAAACATTGATCAGCTGCCTCCTGTACACTCATCAACTGGGGATTGAACCCTCTACTTAGGTATGTGTCAACCGGGATTGAGGCCCGCTCCCTAAGTATGTGCCCTGGCTGGGAATCAAACTCACGACCTTTCAGTGTATAGGACGATGCTCTAACCAACTGAGCCACATCGGCCAGGGCTATTGTAACTGATTTTTGACAAGGCCAAGACTATTCAATGAGGAAAGAAAACAAATGGTACTGGGACAACTGGATAGTCATATGCAAGAGAATAAAGTTGGACCCTTACTTCAGACAATATATTAAAATTAACTCAGCCTTGGTCGATTTAGCTCAGTGGTTACAACATGGGCCCAAGTACCCAAAAGGTCGTGGGTTTGATTTCTGGTCAAGGGCATGTACCTGGGTTGCAGGTTCCATTCCCTGCCCTCTCAGGGCGCATGCAGGAGGCAACCAATGATGTTTCTCTCTCTTTCCACCTCTCTCCCTTCCTTCCATTCTCTCTTAAAAAAAAAATCAATGGAAAAATATCCTTAGATGAGAATGAAAAAAACAAACAAACAATCAAACAAAAATAAAATAAATTAAAAAAATTAACTCAAAATAGATCAATGACCTAAATGTAAGAGCTAGAACTATAAAACTTTTAGAAGAAAACAAATGAGTAAATCTTTATAACCTTGGATTTGGCAAATACTTTTTAGATATGACATCAAAAGCACAAGAAACGAAAGAAAAAAAGGATAAATTGGACTTCATCAAAATTTAAACTTTTGTGCTTCAAAGGCTCTATCAAGACAGTGAAAAGAGCCCGGCTGGTGTGGCTCAGTGGATTGAGCGTTGTCCCACGGACTGAGAGGTCCCAGTTCGATTACCAGTCAGGGCACATGCCTGGGTTGCGGGCTCCATCCCCATTAGGGGTGTGCAGGAGGCAGCCAATCCATGTATCTCTCTCACATCAATGTTTCTTTTTTTAAATTTATTTATTTTTTATAGAGAGGGAGGGAGAGAGAGGAAGGGAGAGAGAGAGAGAAATATCGACGTGAAGGGACACATTGAGTGGCTGCCACCCGCACGAGTAACCAGGGCCACTAACCAGGGCCGGGGACAAACTGCAACCGAGGTACGTGCCCTTAGCGGGAACCGAACCCGGGTCTCTCCAGACCACAGGCCGACGCTCTAACCGCTGAGCCAAACCGTCCAGGGCTCACATCAATGTTTCTATCTCCCTTCTTCTTTCTCTAAAAAATCAATAAAAACATATTTAAAAAAGAAGAAAAGCTCTGGCCGGGTTGGCTCAGCAGTTTAGAGCACCAGCTTTGACCAGAGAGGCCTGGGTTTCGTTCCCACTAAGGGTACATACCTTGGTTGCGGTTTATCCCCGGCCCTGGTTGGGGTGGTGTGAGTGGCAACCACTTGATTGATGTGTCTCTCTCATGTCGATGTTTCTCTCTCTCTCTTCCTCCCCCTCTCCCTCCCGCTCTATCTCAAGATAAATGCAAAAATGTCCTTGGGTGAGGATAAAAAAAAAAAAGAAAGTGAAAAGACAATCCACGGAATGGGAGAAAATTTTTGCAAATCATATATCTGATAAGGGACTTGTGTCTAGAATACATAAAGAAATCTTACAACTAAATAATGACAAATAACCCAATTAAAAATTGGGCAAAGGATCTGAATAGACATTTCTCTAAGACAAAATATACAATGGCCAATAAGTGCATGAAAAGATGCCCAATATAATTAGTCATAAGAAGTTGCTAATCAACAGTCATAAAGTTTCCGTTAAACAAATAAGCTCTAGAGATCTGTTGCATGGCACTGTGCCTACAGTCGATGATAACAAATTTAAGAGGATAGGTAATTCCCATGTTAAATCTTCTTACCATAATAAAATTTATAAAAAAGAAAAAAGGAAGAAAGAGATTGGCTGAAGCAGCCTATGGCAAAAGAGAAAAGGGCAGAATTGAGATTGAATTGCTCAAAGAGGATGTTTTTTCTTGAGGTCCAGATATGTACCCCACAGATAGGGACCAGCCTGAGGGGCAAATAAAGCAGAGGATCTAGGCAAAGAGGGCTTTATACTGGGATGAAATGACCTTAACAGAATGTGGCTGGACATGAACTTGGTTTCAGCATTGGAAAGACCAGCCAGAGGAGGGGCATTGACTCTGAGCCATCTGAAGTTAGATAACCCTAGTGAGGGAATGTCTGAGGAACCATGAAAAGCACATCATGAGAGAAAGAGCCCTGAATATCATTCCAACCTAGAGAGAGAAAATGCCAAGAGATCTGTTTTGAAAAAAGGTTTAATGGGTCTTTGTGCCTTATCCTTTCTACAGTGCCCTTTTAGAGCAGGGCCATGTGCATTATTGTGTACTACATTTCAGTGGCTTCTCATTCCCTATGTCTGTTAATATTCTTTTGGGCCTACTTCCAAAATATCTTTCAAATCAATTTCTTTTTCTTTTTTTAAAAAAATATGTTTTTATAGATTTTTTTTAGTGAGAGAGGAAGGGAGAGAGAAAGAGAGAAACATCAATGTGAGATAGATACATCAATTGGCTGTCTCCTGCACATCCCCTATTGGGGATCAAGCCAGCAACCGGGGCATGTGCCCTGACCAGGAATCAAACCAGGACCTCTCAGTCAATGGGATGACGCTTAATATACTGAGCCAATACTGGTTGGCAATTTTCTTTTCTTTATGCCTTTGGTCAGCACTGTGCTCTAGGCCATCAAATGCTAGACTCTCACAAACACTCTCTGATTTCCTGATAACACTCTTATTCCCTCCAAACCACAAAGTGATCTTTAATAAACATGAATTGATCAGTCCTGTTATCTTAAACATAAAAGGCAAAAGTGAAAGGCAACAAGTGCTTGAGATCCAAAAGCACAGATTCAGGCAAAAATCCAAATATTTCTGGGGGTGAAGGCAGGGTGGTTTTTTGAGAAAGGGAAGCGGAAGAATTATATGAACAGAAGGAAGCAATTTCTGTAAGTGCAAATAAGCTAAGTTATTCTTTTATCCCTACCTGAGGACATTTTTCCATTTTTTTGTTCAGATAGAGTGGGGAGGGAGAGAGAGAAAAACATCGACATGAAAGGGACATACTGAGTGGTTGCCACCCACATGACCCAACCAGGGCCGGGAACAAACTGCAACCGAGGTACATGCCCTTAGTGGGAACCGAACCCGGGTCTCTCTGGACCACAGGCCGATGCTCTACCACTGAGCCAAACCGGCCAGGGCAGCTAAGTTATTCTTTAGCTATGCAATGTGGTGCTGATTCTAAAGAATGTCTTTGCTTTTCAGTCTAGTAGCCAGAATGTCTGCTTTCTTGTTAGCTTTGCAAATAGTTGTTTGGGATACAATGCTGTATTCGGTCCAGTCCTAAAGTTATTTTGATCAGTTTAAACATTTCAGAAGATTGAAGGGTAAGACATGCAAGGCAGTTCCTCTGGAATGGCTGTTCCAACTCCATTTTGAAGTGGCTTCATTTATATTATATTTCATAGTCCTCTGATGAAAATCCTTCAGCAGCTTCCCACTGTCTTCAAACTTTTTAAAAAACAACAACAACTCATCTTTATTATTGAATGTATTACAGATGTCCCCCATTGACCACCTCTTCCCCAATTCTGTCCCCCGCCCAGCCTTCCCCACACTATTGTCGGTGTCCATTGGTTATGCATATATGCATAGAAATTCTTTGGTTCATCTCATCCCGCCCTCCCTCCCCACTTCCCTTTGAGGTTCATCAGTCTAACAACCAATTTGTACTTCTTAATTCCTTTATCTTTTCACCCATCCCACCAGCCCCTGCTCATCTGGCAAGCAACAAAAAGTTCTCTGTATCTATGAGTCTGTTTCTGTTCTGCTTGCTCATTTTGTTTGTAGATTCAATTGTTGATAGATATGTATTAATTGCCATTTTATTGTTCATATTTTTGTTCTTTTTCTTCTTCTTCTTCAAGAAGACCCTTCAGCATTTCATATAATACTGGTTTGGTGGTGATGAACTCATTTAGTTTT